ATTAGATGAACAATGTTAAAAAAGAAAAAAATGATTTTGAGTTTAGAAAAGCTAAGATCTTGAAATTCACCAAATGAATGGTCTAGATCCTTTTTTGGAAGGGATTCATTTTGACCATATCTAGGGTTCTAATTGAACTTTTTTTTTTTTTGGGATTTGATAATTGAGATGAAGAGAGTGTGTATGCCAAATTTTGGGTCATGCAAATAACACAAACTTGGTTTTCTAGAAGGGTCGTTGCATTATAGTATGATGCAACCGTTGCATGAAATCATTGGTCATATATATATATATATATATATATATATGTATTTTTTTTTTTCTCTTTTTTTAAGCATTCTTTGGGGTTCTTTGTGGTCCTTATATACTATTTTTTATGATCTGTGATCTCCGGTCCTTTATCGGAGAGAGGGCTCTTTTTGTATGCTGAATTGCTAGATGGATGCATTCTGGGGAATTTGGAAAATATACAGATACTGCTTATATCACGTCTGAATGTAGTTGGGCTGCATCATATTTTCCTATCTGTGAAAAGCCTCCCCAAGTCAAGATTTTATTTTGGAAAAACTTCTCATGCCTAAGTATGGATTTCAAAACACCAGAAATGGAAGAGAATTTCATAACTAATAGACAAAACAAAAGGTACTGTAGTGGCTTTCCTTGTTCTGATGTATAAAACAATGGAGGCCTTTGCCCTTCTTGTTCCCTTGACGTTATCTATCATTGTGTTCACAGAGAAGTAAATTTTGAGTTGAATGTCCTTGTCAGCTTTGAGTTTCTCATGTGGATCTGTGTTTGAGTTTCACCAGTGTCTGTGACTCCTTTTGTGTTGTCCCATATACATGTTTAACTTAGTGATAAAGTGTATTTAATAAAGCAATTAAAAAAAAACTGTGTTCTGTGCTTGGTCAATGATATTTGCTTTATCTTAATGCTATAATTTTGATCCATGGCAGCTGGTCTTTGTACATGTGGATTTGGACAATGAAGATGACGGGAAACCTATTGCAAATTATTTTGGAGTAACTGGAGAAAATCCTCAGGCAATGCGTGTTTCCCTTTTGCCCTTTTTCCTTTTTTCCGTCAGTTTTTTCATGAATATCCCAAGAGGAAGTAAATATAGAGAAGTAATCTGATGTTCTACGTCTTCTTCTCTTACAGGTTATAGCATTCAGTGGAAACACTGATGAAAAGAAGTATCGATTTGATGGTGAAATCACTGGGGATAAAATTAAGGTCAATTACAGACCTCCTTTCTTCATCCCCCATTTTTCTGTTTATGATTGTTGTAGAATAATTTGTTTTTCAGCATTTTTAACCCATTTTTTCAGCAAATGGAGCAAAAAAGAAGATATCATCATCATGATTGTCAAACTCAATCACCTTTCATGAATATTTAAACATTCTTTTGCATCAATTGTCATATTTAGTTGGTGGCATTACTGCCCTTTTTTTTTGGATGGTTCTACTGCTTGGATATTTGTGAATCACTTTTTCTCATAAATATCTGTTATTTTTTTCAGGCATTTTGTGATGATTTACTGGGAGACAAGCTGAAGCCCTTCTTCAAGTCTGATCCCATTCCTGAAACAGTAGGTTTCCTTCTGCAGTATGCATCCTGATTTATTCGCTTTTTTTTTTTTGATAATTATATTTATTCATTCTATGTTTCACTCTGAGTTATGTCTGCCTTTGTACAGAATGATGGAGATGTGAAGATAGTGGTTGGAGATAACTTTGATGAGCTAGTGCTCGATGAGTCTAAGGATGTACTTCTCGAGGTATTTTCCACACAAATACTAAACAAAGCAGATTAAATTGGAAGTTAACCCCCAAAATATAAAATTAAGTCAGTTGATTCGAAATAAGTTCCTCATGTTTATCTGTGCATTTGGTAAATTTTGTTGACTTTGGATCAGATCTATGCACCATGGTGTGGGCATTGCCAAGCACTGGAGCCAATTTACAACAAACTGGGCAAGCATTTGCGAAGCATCGAATCCCTTATCATAGCCAAAATGGATGGAACCACCAACGAGCATCCTCGGGTCAAGGTTATTTCGATTTTTTCCAGAATGTTTATGATTTACTTGTGAAAGTTATTGAAATCTTTCAGACAAAACTTTGAATTTCCCAAGTATATATATATATATATATATATATATATATATATGCGTAGGTAGTACTATATACTATATCTATATAGTACTATAGTACTATCTAGTACGTACACCTAACTTATTAGTAACGGTACCGTACTTACGTAGTATATTATTACTTACTATAGTAGTATAC